GCGGTCAAGTAGAATTTTCTGCTTGCCCGGTTTGGTATACACTCGTATGAAAACAACTCAAAAAAACAACCACTACATATATATATATATATATATATATATATATATATATATATATATATATATATATATATATATATATATATATATATATATATATATATATATATATATATATATATATATGTAGTGGTTTTTGAGTTGTTTTCAGACGAGTGTATACCAAACCGGGCAAGCAGAAAATTCTACTTGACCGCGGCTGGGATTCGAACCCGCGACCTTCGCATTTCTAGAACGATGCTCTACCTTCTGAGCTACAAGGTCAAGCTGAGAACGACTTGTTAAGTTATGATGTTAGTTGCATTTCGGAGGTTAGTCCTTCAATGCGTATAGCCAGCTATTAGTCTGGCAATGCTGTATGTGAATGTTGTGGTTTCCCACGTTTACGATTCCACTCGTGTAACGTCATGTAGCGGTTTTTGAGTTGTTTTCAGACGAGTGTGAAACACTCGTCTGAAAACAACTCAAAAACCGCTACATGACGTTACACGAGTGGAATCGTAAACGTGGGAAACCACAACATTTATATATATATATATATATATATATATATATATATATATATATATATATATATATATATATATATATATATATATATACAAATACTTGCGTTAATCAAAAATCAATCATTTTCGGTATAATATATATCATTTATAGATGATCCCCCGCTCGGGGGATTCGACGATATATTACCCTCAGTGATTTCACTTCGGGTAATATATATTTCGCCGAAATAATGTCACAAGGCTTGATGCCCGCGAGGAATGCTGGTTTTAGTAGTCATTGCCCAGGAAAAGTTCGATTGTGGCCATTTTGAATTGTTTAATTTTTCCGGACGATGATTACTAAGACCAGCATTCATCGCGGGCATCAAGCCTTGTGACGTCAAGCTAGAACGTAACCCTAAAACCAATAAACCATGCTTGGTATCTCTTTCTCGACAGGTGGTATTGCATTACATAATACGAGTCAATCTTTCTAATGTAAATATCTCGGGGAGTATTTAGCCCCCCCCCCCCCTTTAAACGGTGGAGTCAAATGGCATCAAACATTATACAAACCGAAACAATCATATATTTACTCACCGCTTGGCCAAGCATTCTGTATTTCATATCGAGAAAAAGTTGAATATCTTCTAAACATTTTCGTTATTTCCTGAATTAGGCTAGTGAGCAAAATACTCTCTGTATTAAAGCGCTTTCGTGTAGAAAGTTTTGTTTGATCAAATACGGCGAGTAGAAATAATTAAGATATCGGGATTTACTTGCACGCGCGTGCCAGCCGGGATGATGTCAAACCCACGCGTATAGGTGCACTTTGACCTTTTTTACTGGGTTTACTGATGTGCACTTTGACCTTCTTAATTACTGGGTTGACTGGTCATTTCCAGAGTCACACGATACAAAGTCGCATTGTTTTGACGTTGTGAATTTGTATTTCAGGTTGGGATTAACTTACAGTCGGACATGGGCGTACGGGAAGGAAAAAATTAGGGGGGCGGAAAGAAATTTGCCCAACTCTTTCGGATTGTGCCCGAGTTGTCAAAAAAAAATTTCCGGAGAAACTTTCCGAAATTGTTGTCGATGGGAGAGGGGGAGGAGTGATTACGAAAAATTCCTATTCGATAGCATATTTCCCACAAAATTGACAGAATTTCCCACAAAATTGACGGAATTTGTCCCATCTATTTCATAATAAGCCAATATCGCCCGACTGTGAAGCGAATATTGCCCGACTGGCTTTGTTTGCCCAACAAACTGGGGCAGAAATGGAAATACCGGACAAAAGATGCAAATTTGAAGACCAGAAATGGAAATACCGTGACAAAAGATGCAAATTTGAAGATACAGGCTCCCCAAATAACACTGTGAATAGAGCGTTTGCACATGACGTCACAGTCGCCGTGTTGGTGTTCCAATTCAAAAGAATTGCAATTAGACTCTTTTGTCTGGAACACCAACATGGCCGCCAATTGGCTTTTGTTCAGATGGTCCCTGGGGAATGAGTGCAAACGCTCTACAGGGTGTCCCAAAAAACCCCGAAAACTATTGAAATAAATGTATTGTTAGAACTTGAATGCCTCAGCACTCTGCTGAACCCACACGTGCATCAAAGCTTGACGTAAGTAAATTTTATGCATAAAGAAACCGTTTAAGAAAATGTTTTAAATTCCCAAGAGCAGAAAATCGTGCGCTTTACACACATATTTTAATTTCTTAATAAGTCAATATTTAATATATCACCCTTGACAATATTCACGCATCTTTGCGTTCAGATTAATTAGTGCTAGGGCATTCAAATTTTAACAATACGATATTTCAATGATTTTGCGGGTTTTTTGGGACACCCTGTATAGTTTGATAGTGATTCGAACAAGACTATTGCAAAGAAGACACGTCCGAAGGGGCCGAAGTTATATTCGGCGAAAGGAATTTTTGTTCAGACAATTGCGTAATTTGATAATATACGATCACGCCTGACTTTCAAAGGCTATAAATCGTTACAATGTTGACATTGACTAAAACTATTGTTAGAAATTAGTAGATATTGTTAGACGGAATCGAACGGTGGTATTCTCATCTACATAGCGTCCATTCTCGTACCCAGAGCCCTTCTTACGCGCGGTCAACGGAGCACGACGAGGGGCTCTGGCCAAATCCATAACCGGATACCATAAAAACATGGTATCCGGTTAAACACTGCGCATGCTCAACGTCAAACGCGGATAAACACTTCGGCTTTCTTGTTTGTTTCGTTTTGAAAGTTTTTCTCCAGGAAAACCCCACAAAAGCGGTAGGTTTCGCTAATTTTATTTATTTAAATCAATTAGTAGGTAAGACGTGATGTTTCCAATGCATGTTGATAAAAATTTAGTATATATTTACCTCTTAAACGTTGCCAAAGCAGTAATGGCTACGGATACGTACGAAGACGAGAGATTGTCTCACTATTTTATATTCGATTTTAAGTCGCTGTTGTACAGATTTTTAGACTTTTTTGTGTTTTATTAAAAGTCAACAGTCATACATAAGACATACTATACTGCAAATCATTTGAAAATTGTAAAAAATCGGTTTCTAGGAAGAAAATAGTCATCACAACTGACTTCATATTCTGGCTGGCTTTAATATTTTCTCTTCAGATGGCACTTCAGCTTTGAACATGTAACACAGATTTGTTTGAATAACATCACTGATTTGGAAATACGACGAGCATCTGCCATAAATATGCTGACTTTTTGCTAAGAGAACATCATGTCTCAACCTATTAATTTCAATCAACTAATTGATTTAAATAAATAAAATTAGGCCATGGGAATGAAAGTCATAGATTTGCGTCCGGATAATTTTGAAAAAACATGCGGGTTTTTTTCATTATTCATTATTTTTTTACCATCCTTTTGGGTGGTAAATACAGAGATCAAAACACGAATTACCGTTTACGCCACGGAATTACATATATCTCGAGCTCACGCAGTTGCAGTACTAAGATCTGTGTGCCAATTTCGCCATTTCGGTGAATATAATTTGGAATTTCATAGAATGTGGATACTGAGGACAAACACACTGCAATATGTTCATTTTATTGTAATCAATACACAATTTTATTGCTAATTTTATTGAGTTTTGCTTTATTTGTGAAAATAATGAATTGTTTTGTAAATAATGAAAATTTTAGGCGGTAGCTTTTGAGGCATGCGGGCGGTGGACGCAAATCTATGACTTTCATTCCCATGGCCTTAGCGACATCTACCGCTTTTGTGGGCGATTATCAACAACAATCTTCCTAACTGCTTCGTACTGCTGTTCTTTCAACTTTAATAATGTCTTTTCTCCCAATTTTCAAAGGGAAACCAACGCTTCGTGGAGCGCTTGTGTATTTTTATTCATATTTACTATAATAAACCATATATTTCGTTGTGGCCAATCAGAAGCCAGTTTGATATGGATTTGGCCAGAGCCCCTCGTCGTGCTCCGTTGACCGCGCGTAAGAAGGGCTCTGGGTACGAGAATGCATAGCGTCCAATGAATCGAAACTATGAAATCTGCAAAATAGTATTCCAGAATCGGAATAGTTTTATAGGGGTCTGTCGACAATATATCAGCCAGGCTCGATAATCACTCGTCAGAGAAGATCCATTAGAAAAAATATTTAACAGCAATTAGTCTTGCGACTATACGATTGGTTTCGTGGAGTTCCGTAAGCAACCCGGTCATAGATCCTGGGCACTAGCTTCGGTTATGCTAATCAGCGACAAGTATCGACAAGTACGTCATCTCTCATGATCACTGCTCGAAATGATGCAATTCAAGCTCGAAAGTATTAAAGCTTTAAAACCATGCTCGGTATATACACCATTTCATATAAAAATTGATAAAAATCCTACTATGACAAAGCTCACATCGAAAATAACTCGAAATTAAATATATACCAAATATTGAAACCAAGTTCACATTTGTGGGTCAGTCAATTGTCAATAACAATTGGGAATTATTATAATACAGTATAATACGACATATTTGCATATCTAAATTGCCTATAGCTTTTCCCATAACGCTCCGCAGAGCTCTTGTTCAAATGTATTTACTGAATATTGTAACATTGTACTCACTTCTCTCCAGATGCCCATGTATACACGCCAGAACCGTGCATTTTATTAAACTTCCAGCATCCCTCATATAGGTCGCCATTAGCGAACATAAACTCACCAAAACCATGTTTTTGTCCTAGGCAGTTCTTTTCACCATGATAGCGAGAGACCATTGCCGTTTCACCGTCAAGACTATCGTATGACATACATGGACATAATATTTGTAGTATAGCAGCCATATTATGAAACGCTAATTTATATTTATTGACACGACTATTTTATGAACCGATTGTTGTGTCCCAGCATTGCACAAAGGGCTAGTACTTTTCGTTCAGGTTCTCCGAACAAGAACACCCTATTCTTAGGGTGTCTAATCCACATCAATTGTGCGCGATAATATATCCCACGTCTTTCAGTTGAAATTACCTAAAATGTTGTTATGTTTATCCTTGTAATCTGGACATATGCCAAGACGTATTGGCAATGGACCGTACTGACAAAATTAAAAAATAATGTCTGGTATGATTTTCGTTTATGCAGTTATTTAGACTTTAAGATTCCAATTCCCTGTCGAGAAAAATGAATTTGGCCACTGGTAGATCGTCTAATCTACATAAATGTCTCCATTTTTCTGTGTATAGTAATAGTTTGTATTCAAATTCAAGGAAGCGGAAGTATTTTTCATGTGATATTTGAATGATATGAGGCAGCGTCAAAAGATCAAATATAATTAATTAGACAGAATTATTTCACAACAGAAACTTCCCGAATTTGCTATTTCGTCAACTATCACACAAGCTGAGGCGACATGGTATGCACAAAAATTGACAAAATTGGCTTTACTTTAGAATAAAGATGTGTAATGTAATTATTGTACAAGGTTTGACATTGTAATTATTTTATGATTATCGAACTGAGATATTTAATACGGGGCTTGGTGTTATGGGGATGCGCAGCTGCGGTGGCGCAGTCGTCAGTGCGAGCGCCTTTCACCTCTGAGATCGTGAGGTCGATTCTCGCTGTGAACTCATGTGAAAAGAATCAGTCAACCTTCTGCCAAAAGTCGTGGATTTTCTCCGGGCGCTGCGGTTCCCTCCGACAGGGCAAGTTGCCGGCAGGAATCGCAGGATGGGTTAGGATAAACAGATAAATAATTTAGGCTAAAGCTACGTTTACACGCTGCGATTTGTCGGGCCGATTTTGGCAAATAATCGATGCCCCTTCTTCGACATTTAGCGATTTAAACGTTCAATTGAAGCTGTCCGCTCTCTCATCTGTTGATATTATAGTTTTCTGCGTGCGAAAAGTTTTCAACAATTTCACAACGGAACAAAAATCGTCGAATCGTGAGAAAAATCTGTGTTTTGTTACAGATTTTTCTCCCGATTTTGTGAATCGCAAGGTGCTGACGCGAGTACTCACGACAGGTTATTTACATATAGCGAGCAAAATCGGCCCGACAAATCGCAGCGTGTAAACGTACCTTAAGTAACATAAACAATCGGTCATATAACAGTAACATAAATAATTGATGTGCGCTGAAATAGTAATGTAATGTAGTGTGTCACCACTTTTAAAACGTTCTTAATCAATCATTATAATGAACTTTTATTGAATGTTTTTATGCAAATTTGACATGTACTTGGTCAGTTGTTAGAGACTGTGCTTGTCACAGGAGTTAAAGCACGTTTACGCATTACGACCGGTCGGGGTACCTCTTTTATGATTGATGCCACCAAATGACGTTTTATCTGGCTTACAAAGAATTATTTTAACATAGATCCTATCACTTTGGCCTGAATGTGTGTAAACGTGCTTTCAACGATTTTAAATTTTTAATTTTATGTAAATTTGTAATTGTCGACAGAAGTCAAATCGGGAGGTAGCCTCGCATGGGCTATTATGGCCCGTTCGCTATTTTCCCGTTTAGGAACTGCATCCTTGTTGTATTTGTACCTTATTAATGTAATATTAAGTTCCTAATAAAGCTGTTAAAAAAAAATAAATAAATAAATAAATAAAGTTGTTAATAATATGTTCTCGAAATTACGCAACCTGCTGAGGGTTAGGTTAAAATGCGGAAGCGGAACGGAACGGATAGGATTAAATTAAAATGCGGAACGGAACGGATAAGGGGCTAAAATGCGGAACGGAACGGATATGGGGTTAAATTGCGGAACGGATATAGCGTTAAAATGCGGAACGGAACGGATATGGGGTTAAAATGCGGAACGGGGCGAATATGAGGTTAAAACTCAATTTAAAAGTGCCGCATTTTAACCCTATCCGTTCCGTCCCGTTCCGCATTTTAACCCCATCTGTTCCGTTCCGCATCCGCTTCCGCATTTTAACCTAACCCACCTGTCTGAACATATGTCAGTTTTATGAATAGTTTTATGTCACGCGAACTGCTAAAAATAGCAAACGTTAACAAAAGATAATTTATTATAAACCGTATGTTATAGGTGTTCGGAAGCGTGCGTATACGTATGGGCTAATTGACGAAACATGTCCCACAATCACTGAACCGATCAACTGTTGCGTACGTAAATAACATGTGGGCAATTTCTTTGAGCATGCGCTAAACAGCGCGCAGAAAATCAATATGGCGACAATATATTAGGAGTATTTCGTGGATTTATCTGGTTTCAAAGCTGATAAAACAACATTTTGATGAACGAAAACTTTGTAATATTTAGTGGAAAATATTAAGCTGTGCATTCCAAAGGTTTTAAATTAAAAATAAGTACTTTTGCTTTATTTTGACGCTTTTTATGCTTTCAAAACAGGCAAGCTCAAATCTAATCTAATATCATATGTTACCCATCATTTGTTTAATCTGAACAGAAATAGATATACACTTGGCTATATAAGTTATAAAGGTATTGATAGCTGATCTGAAAGATTTCATTATGCCTGATACACACTTTATTAAAAAATGAAATGTAATTTCCAAAATTAAATACACTGTATGCATATCAAAAACAATTATCACTTATTTACTGAGACCGAGGGAAACACACTGCTTTCCCGAGGTCTCAGTAAATAAGTGTTTTGTTATCCCCGAGCCAACGGCGCGGAGCACCGTTCCGGGCGTAAGCCCGGGGCGAGGGTACTAATTCCGACCGGCTATTTACACCCGGGGAAAGGAACGCACTAAGCACTAGCGAAGTCTAAAGTTCATCAAATATCGCGGGCGCATGGTGAGGGTCCTGAAGGGGTAAAATGGGAACTGGGATTGATCTATTTTTAGACTGGGAAAATGGGATTTGGGTTGCTGGAACTGGGATTTAGCCACTGGGAATGGGAAATGAAGTCCTCAAAAATGGGAATGGGATTGAGGTAATGCGAGTCGATTCCCAATTTTTCCACGTTTTAATTATTTTAAAATACAATTTTGATCCGTTTTTTGGTGTCTTTGGTCATAATTCCTATTGTTAACTATATTATTCACAGCACTACCTCCGAACAGGCATACTCTGGCGCCCGGAATTCTGGGTTTTCTGATTATGCGTCTCCCCAAGTCAGATGCACAGCGGAATATATGCCTGGTTTCCGGTATATACTTCATTTAACCCTTAGTATATACCTCCAAGGCAAAGCACAACCGCTTCTGCTACACAGTGCGCACACACGGTGGTTTAAAAGGTCTTAAAACTGTTTATTTTACTGATAAATAACGGGGTTTTTATTGACTGGGATTTCTAATAAAAATCCAACTGGGACTGGGATTTTGCTAAAAGTTCAGGTGGGAAATGGGATTGGGAGCCCCCCTTCAGGACCCTCCATGGTGTATGGGTGGTCATCTCACTGATCTCAAAATATGGCTGTTTGCCAGGAGTGAAGAAGGGAGAAATATAATACATCTTATACATTTAAGTTATGAAAGCTTGGAAAATCGTTTCATATAACAAATTGTACTTTTTTCAATTTTTAAACGTAAACATTTATAAGAATTGATTTAGCATGAGAAATCCTAAAGTATAGCCTACAGGGCAAGTTTGTTTCAATTGTTTATGTATGACTTTGTAATATTATAGACTTTATCCTTGTTGTTCAAGTCTTTCCTATGCTTTGTATGTCAATTGTATGAGAAAGTTTCTTAGTTAAATTAACTTTTGTAGAAGTTCGTGATAAAAAGGAAAGCAAATTATTTTAATTATCGTCCCGGCTGTACGAATTAAATTTCATTTCAAAGTGCGAGTATACGTAATAAGTTGAAACTCAAGTTGAAGAGTTTAAAAAGCAGTTAATTACCATTCGCATTTAAAAACGTTTTGCGTAGAGTTTCGTTTTGAATTTTACATTTAAAAAAGCCCATAGAAAACAAAATAATATACCTACTTTATATCTTTTATAAATTGATAGTTCTGTATTTAAAAGTGTTTGTTTTAATACAGGTTTGTACAAAAAATTAAAAAAACAATTATCGTGTTGCCATGACTAACATGACGTGCAACGCGAGCCTGCGTTCAGTGTTGGCGTAATTACAAATACTTCATGTTGAAACAATGTTTGGAAAATATAGGCGAGGGGTTGTTGCATGCATGTATTTCTAGTATATATATAAGTGTCAAAGTATGAATAATTCACCGGTTATTGGAGTGAACTTAATTTGAAACCAAAACTGGATAAATGGAACGCCGTAAATGTTTAGCAGAAAGTTTAAAAAATGAACTTTGGAACTTCATGGTTGACACGCATGCGTATTGCACCCATTTTATTATTGACCGGTCAATAAATGTTTCATTGCGGACCGGTTGCCGAACATGACGTTTTGTGGACCGGCACGTGACACAGTTTTGACCAATCGGCAAACAGAAAAATTGAACTTTGACACTAACTATTTTACAATAGTTTTTATTAGAACAACACATAATAAGTTGTTATTCTCTATTTTTACAATAACAAGTTTGGAAACATGATCTAGTTCCCCAGTTTGATGTCATATTCCATTTATTTGTATATTTCAATAAAGGAATGTGAAATAATGATAGAATCTTGGGCAAAATTTGATACCATGTGAACAGATACTATCACCTAAAAATATAAGAGAACAGAACTTAAATTTATTATTATTTATTTATTTAAATTTGTTTAAACATGGTAACCTATCAGTTTCCTGTTTTTTTATAGGGCCGTGCATCTATTTACAAAAGACTAATTAATATCGTAATAACAAAATAGCATGCAATAATTGTTTTAAATATATATATATATATATATATATATATATATATATATATATATATATATATATATATATATATATATATATATATATATATATATATATATATATATATATATATATATATATAATAGTGACATAAATCATGCAAACACTCAATTCAATAATCTATGACTTGAAATATCCATTAATAGTACTTTTGAATGAGTCAATAGAGAGTTGATTGTAGTTATCCCTTATTTGCATAGGATAGTTTATTCCATCATGATGATCCACAATAAGAGAAACTATTTTTCATAAAATTCGTCTTAGGTTTTTTTAAACAGAGATTTCTGTTATTACTTCGAAGGCTATAATCATTGTTGAAAGTAGCGGTGAAAAGGTTAGATAAATACTCTGGTGCGAAACTTCTAATCGCTTTAAAAGTCATCACAAGTTCGCGTTTTTTCAGAGTGGTTTCTAGTGGTTCCCAATTAAGTTTCTTAAAAATGTCAGAGGAACGTATCTCATAATTAGAACCTGTTATCACACGAGCTGCTCTTTTTTGCATGCAGTTTAACAAGCTTGCATGTTCATATTTGTATTATTTCCATCATGCCATACATTGGAACAATAGGTTAAATGGGGTAAAATTAGCGCGCTATACATTGTCAAAAGCATTTGTTCTGTTGTAAAGTTTTTCGCCCTCCTTAGGAGGGCTATATTTTTAGAAATTTTCTTACATTGTGCATCGATATGATCTTTCTATTTCAATTCTTTATCAATTTTTACACCCAAACTTTTTTGTCCTGAACTCGTTCCACACTATGGTTTCCAATGACTATGTTCGGATTACGAGATAGGTTATTTAATTTCAGGCGTGATCCAATATAACCATGTATTCAGTTTTCTCTTTGTTTAATGTAAGATAGTTACATGTTAGCCACGTTTGAACATTATTAAGATCGTTATTTAGTTTTTGCTCAATTTGTTCTGATGAAACACCCTCACATGCCAAGTTTGTGTCATCCGCAAACATCGAGGCATGCGTTGTTTCAATTTATCATCTAATGCTATGAAAAGATCTTAGATACTACAGGCATATAGTGAGCAAAACTCTTTTAAATTACAATCTCACTAAAATAAGTTAAGTTATATGTATACTCTGTGACTATGATAAGAGGATGGCAATATATGACAATATCAAATGTTGCCATCTTCAGTGTCCAAAAAAAGTGCCGCACGCATTTTTCGTGGTCGCATAATTGAGATTGCCACAAACCCAGGTGCAAAAGCAATTAGAAAAACCTGGTTTTGGATGATGAGCATAGTCAAATTCATGACTTATTGAATTTTCTAAGTTTTTCCAGGTAAACAGATTCGGGACCTCATAGAATCCAAAATATTGAGTATGGACCAGATTTTTTTTCAATTTGCTGGGATTTACACAACACTAGTTATAATTTAAGCGTCAACTAGTATTGTTCAAGACATATTTTCCTTCCAGAACACCTTTTCAAAATACTCACAAAACATGTCAAAAATATTGTACATTTACAAGGGCAATTTCAACCCTTTGACACATTTTTACTGTAATGATCTTTACAGTACAAATATTTAATCCCATTAAATAACATGAACAAGTTAAAGTCTAACACAACTGTTCTATAATATTCTGTTTTTTCCGAATACGACGGAGGGCTTCTTTGAGTGAATACTTCGCATCTGTGTGCTTAAGCTTCAGTACGTCTCTTTGGTTTGGTGGATCATGAGGAAGGACTCCGCTTTTCGGTAGCTTCTTGACGACCGCCGAGTGTCGTATGAGGCGTTGATTCTCCCCTTCCAAAAATACTGAATCTCCTTTTACTGCCGTAACTTTTAATGGAGTCTTGAGCCAGTGTAGGCTCAGTTCGCTCTGGTTCTCGTTGCGAACCGCGACGGTGTCGCCGACCTTCAGGGTAGATGGAGCTACCTTGTTGTTGTTATCGTGATATTGTTTCGATTTTTCTTTCTTTCTCGTGTCACGTTCTCTGATCGAGGCGGAGTCCGTCGCTTTAGGAGAGGTGGGATTTATTGCAGGTAATTCGTCGTTGAGGTTACGGCCAAACATCACCACCGCTGGAGCCTGATCTGTGACGGAGTGGGATGTGTTTCGGTACGCAAGTAACCAGTCGTCGAGGGCGAAGCGCCAGTTGCGTCCTTCTGCGATGGCTGTTTTCACTACCTTGTTGATGTTCCTTTTGAGTCGTTCCACTTCGCCATTTGCTCGTGGGTAGAGAGGCGTGAACTTTCTATGTTTGATGCCGTATTCAGCCATCAGGTTTGCAAAATGGGTCGAACAGAATGTCTGCGCATTGTCAGTGACGATTCCTTTCGGCACTTCATACCGTGCAAAGATTCGGCGTAAACGAGGTTCTAAAGCGGCAGCGGTGATCCTCCTCATGATCTCAACTTCGGGGAAGCGGCTGTAGTAATCGACGAGTACGACTAGATTCTCTCCAGTGGGGAAGGGACATACAAAATTCATTCCTACGTAAAGCCATGAGGCTTCGGAGAGAGGAGTTGGCTTTAGCGGTGGTGGTGGTTGTGCCGGAGCTGAACTGGCAAGAGTCAAATTGACAAATTCTGCGGCATCAGGGGACATGCCAGGCCACCATACTTTCGTGCGGACAAATTCTGCGGCATCAGGGGACATGTCAGGCCACCATACTTTCGTGCGGAGACGTGATTTAGTTTTAGCGATTCCTTGGTGCTCTTGGTGAGCCAGTTCCAGGACTCGTTTGCGGAGGGATGTCGGTATTAAGATTCGATATCCTCGCAAGGTGATGCGGTGAGCATAATAAGAGGAAAGCTGACGGTTGTTCCAAATACCTGAGGTAGTGCTTTCGATAAGCGCTTGCAGGATTGGATAACTCAGTTGTAACTGATTTAACCTCTTCTACACTACACGATATGACGATATGGCGGCGTTGATAGCCCGAGTATCGGCCTGGTCGCTTGGGTTGATGGCTCTTGTTGGAGGCACTGGCTGTCGTGATAACACGTCTGCTGCATTTTGAACACCGGGCACGTAGCGCATGTTGAAGATGAGATGCTGGATCCGGAGAGCCCAACGTTGAATACGAGGAGGTTGGCACGATCCAAATCGGTAAGGACCAAGCAGCGGCTTGTGGTCCGTAATCACTGTGAGCCCGGCTTGTGGTCTGTAATCACTGTGAACCTGGAATCGCCATTCAGGTAATGGACGAACTTAAGGCAGCCAAACTTGACGCTGAGAGCTTCTTGTTCCAGTTGGCTGTATCTGCGCTCTACATCTACAAGTGAACGACTAGCGTACGCCACTGGTCGCGATGTCCTATCCTGCTGAACTTGACAGAGTATGGCACCTACCCCAAAGGGCGACCCGTCGACACGAAGCTCCGTCTTTCGATGACGGCTGAAAAAGGCAAGACAAGTTTCGCTTGAAATGGTTGCTTTTATCTGCTGTTCAGAGCCCCAGGCCCATGAGTTGCCCGATCGAGTTAGGAGTCGTAGCGGCTCAGCCATTGTCGCTAGGTTAGGCACAAAACGAGCGAGGAAGTTGACAAAACCCTGGAAGCTCTTCATATCACAGCTCTTCACAGCTCTTCACATGACAGTTTCAGACATTTTTTTTTTTTTTTATTTTTTTTTTTTTTTTTTTTTTTTTTTTTTTTTTTTTTTTTTTTTTTTT